GATGGTGGCGAGGCACGGTTGAGCGCGCGCGGCCAATGAAAGAGAGTCCTGATATAAGCAGCTGACTGAGCCGTCACATGACATTTTCCCTTTGTCCTGGCTGATAATCTAACTGGGTAGTTAAAGCTTATTGGCTGGTGGTTGTCATGTGACCTGCAATCCCTTGTCTGATTGGACGAGGACCCCTTGATCGGTACATCTGACACTAGGCGGCATTTCTTTGATCTGTAATGGGTCTCGGCTCAGTCAACACTCTTAGAAATCAACCAGAAAATCTACGAATAGCTATTTATTGCTTTATAATAACTTTATTGGCTTGTGAACAATCACTTTACTTTACGTGCCTCGCGGCCGCCTACTGGCGGTCTTTACTAGCAACTCTCAGAATCAGAGATCAGGTACAATTCAGCTTTTAACGAGCTCCACTGAACAAATAACCGAGAAAACGTTGCAGTTATAGATTGAGAACTTAAATCTGTGTTTCATAATCTCGAGATTATGTGGAGTTCCTTAGTGGGTCTCTCCGTGGACAACAAGGAACAATATATCAAAATTCAAAGTACCAATGATCAAAGCTTTTAAGCTTCAATGCTGTAAGATCTGTATAATTCAGGATCAGTAAGTTTCGGCTAACACCTACTTTCACTTAAATTTTCTCTCATAACCTACAATTTACATTTTACACCAGAGTCTGGTTAATTTTAAATTATCTTAGGCGCCCTGACACCAGCACCAATATTCAGCCTAGCTTACACAACACAAGGGACAATCTTAACCATAAAATTATAATTCAATGAAATTTCGAGGGGGAAAAAGATTTGTAACTCACCTTTTAAAATTATAGGATTTAAAGGGAAAATGTGCGATTAGGTTTGGCCTCTATACGGCCACTATACGGCCTCTATACGGCCTCTATATGGTCTTTGGCTTTATACGGCCACTATATGGCCCCTACACGGCCACTATACGGCCTTTATACGGCCTCTATACGGCCTCTATACGGCCTTTATACGGCCTTTATACGGCCACTGTACGGCCTCTATACGGCCTTTATACGGCCTTTATACGGCCACTATATGGCCTCTATACGGCCACTTTAGTCTATACGGCCTCTAAATGGCCACACAAAACATCTAATCTATGGCCTCTATACGGCCTCTATATAGCTTCTATATGGCCTCTATACAGCCTTTAAACGGCCTCTATAGTCTATACGGCCTCTATGACTATACGGCCTCTATACGGTCTCTATACGGCCTCTATACGGCCTCTATACGTATTTTCCTTACTTCGATTGTAGCCAGAAACGAACCTATAGTAGTGATCAAAACATTTTTCGATCACCTGGTTCTTTTGCGATAGTGTAAACGCGACAACTAGCGCTGGATGGCGAAAACTAGCGCTGGATTGCGACAATTATCGAAAATTTATATTTTGCGCTGGATACGAGCGACCTAAATTACTTTACGATCTTTGAGCGACCTAAATTACTCTACGAGCGACCTAAATTACTCTACGATCTTCGAGATTGTTCTAAAAAGGCCCCCGACAGTTGAAACCAACTTCGATCGATGCATTTTCGGACGCTGATTCCGAATCACCTCCCATGACATAGGGTAAAAATTCTCCCCTGATATTGGCGAAAAACTGTCTCGATCACGTGATATGAAGGTATAAGGAAATTAATCTAATTTCTCGTTAGGGTTAGGGTTTTAGCATATCACATATGCTTTATTGCTTTTGTTAAGGATGGGTTAGGGTTAGTGTTGGGATCAGATTAGACCCTAATAGAGGGTTAGGGTTTCGAATAGTCGTTCAACTTCAATTAACGGGTGATACTCGTAAAATATCTGTTCCATATATTGACCGTCGACGAGTCCAACTCGGCGCGCGTCCTGGTAGGTTGTAAACCTACAATCGTTCAAGACCAGCTAGAGAACGGGTTGAAAAAGTCACGTGACAGTTGAGTGTAGACTTAGGGTGATTAATCATCATCCCGCTAAATATCTTTTACCAGCGCTGCGGATAGCGACAACTAGCGCTGGATAGCGCTAGTTGTCGCCTTTAAAACAATCGCAAAAGAACCCATGTAAGCTGCCCTAAAAGCATCAATATTATTATGGCCCAGCCGTAAGTTGAGATTCCTTCGGTTTTTGCACAGAACGTAATTATAATAATGCAACCTGTCCGGAGTTAAGTTGAATATAGATAGGTAAGGACCGTAGAGTATGACTCTGTCCCACAATGAAGGTCGCGTTGTGTAGATTAGGCTTTGTTATGTAGACAAGAAAGTACAATTGAGTGCTGGTAGAAAAACAATCAGGTACGATGGTAAATTTAGTTTGGGATCCCCCCTCAAGAAGGAAACAAAATTTGACAGGAATAATTGTTAGGAACTTACCATCGTTTTACATTTTACAATTGAATATTGCAAATAAAATAATGCAATTTTACATATTATCTTGAAACAAATAATTTAAGGTAAAAATGACAGTTTAAATAAAGTTCTGCGTTACTCTTTTTCTATTAAAAAAAATAAAATACACGAATAATGAATATGAATACATACATTTTGAAAGCATTGTTCCTATACTAGTATTATGCAGGCAAGATAGTTCCCGGGCCAGCTTCCCAGTTATGCTTGAATTGCAAGCAGAATCCCAAATTCCATCTTGTCGAACGTAGTCAGTGGCTACCCCTGTGCCATTATTGTGTACTTAGGATACACGTTCGAGGTTAGATCTTTATGTGTGTTACTCTTTTGATAGATGAATGAATCCTATCAGAAATTGTCACAATGTTAGATATTTCTGAACACATTTCAAAATGTTTAAAGCTGCATCGACAGGAATTTTAAGTATTTAATATAGAGTAATTTGACCAAAACCCATAATCATGGGTAGAGTGTACCGCTGCCAGTGTCTCTCTTTTCCAAACAAAAGGAAATGATATTAATTTGAGGAACCGTCCGCTAATTCAAATTGAAACCGAGAATGAAATCGGTCGCTCGCTTTTCCCATTTAATAAGCTTTATTACAATTCGTAAGCCGTGAATGAATGGGAAAAGCGAGCGACCGATTTCATTCTCGGTTTCAATTTGAATTAGCGGACGGTTATTCAAATTAATATCATTTCCTTTTGTTTGGAAAAGAGAGACACTGGCAGCGGTACACTCTACCCATGATTATGGGTTTTGGACTTTGGTCAAATATCATCTCTTTTTGATTATAATGTCAGGATAATTTACACAGTCGAAACTTCATTAATAAGGAGGTAATTTCAACGATTTCGAAATTCTGCCTTTGAAAACGTTTCCTTGTGTTTAGGTAGGTATATCTGTCGATAACCGACTGAATATGGCACTTTTTACTCATTCAAGTTGGCATTAAATTCATATATAATGCCATTTAAATATCGTGGAAAGCAGAATATATTCGAAATCACGAATGAGCAAAATTCTCACCTTTCGCACGTGCAATCTTTGGGCGGACGTTGCATGCGCATACAATATTGAATCACCGTAAATTTTTGCATAGTGGTATTTAATATATAGTTTGATAAGCATGAAAAGTTTCAGAAGATTTCAAAAAGAACTTGGATCACAAGGGGACTCCAAAGTTGATAAAAATCGTGAAAATCAAAATTTTTAGTGATTTTAGCTATTTTAAATCAATTTGGGCGTGTCCCCACGTGTGCAACTTTTCGATTTTTAACTTTAAAACTAGCCTATAACACAATTTACACCTTTAAGAAGCAAAATTGAGCTCCACAACCCAAGGGATGGCCCAACACCAGAGAATACTAATTCACAACTTTTGTGTTTTTATAAAATTATTCTTTAAAAAAGCACTAACTTCAATAGCAAATATCTTTATGAAGGAGCAAGGTAGGAATCTTTTCCGGTAGATTTTCGGAATGCTTGAACAATTATCTAAGATAAAAATGTCCTCAGATTTTGAATATAATTACTCCTTAATGGTGTAAAATCGATTTGAAAATTTCTTACTTTGTCAAAAATCAAGTTCTAAAAACACTTAATTTGATGACGTCATCAAGTGATGATGATGACGTTAAATTATTTTTCAATACAATGTAAACTGAAGTTTAAACGATTATCTTTAAAACCTGTGGTTCGAGATGACTGTATCGTTTATACTTTTGGATCTACGGACACTTAAATGTAGGCTACAATTGACTGCAAAAGCGTCTATACATATATAATATATATATTTACCAAAACCCATAATCATGGGTAGAGTGGACCGCTGTCAGTGTCTCTCTTTCCCAAACAAAAGGAAATGATATTAATTTGATTGACCGTTCTCAAATGCAAAATGATACCGAGAATGAAATCGGTCGCTCGCTTTTCCCATTTGACTTTAATTTTAATAGATAATAATTATTATATTTTATATATTTTTGAGTAAACATTGGCTGGTTTACTGCGCGGAGCTCAGCTTATGATCATTCTGTCGAATCTCTATTCGCGGTGGTTGTTCATGAACATTATAGCCTGGGGTCCCCAGCCAGGTAATGGATTGTTCTTTGGGCCAGTCCCTAACAAAAAACTTAATAGTCGAGTGTAAAGTGATTCATCAGATCATCCGATTTCCTCTTGACATATTTTAGTCCCAGTTAACCGCTATAAGACGCATTCCTCATTGCGAGGTGATTAGATAATTGGTTTACAACTCCCCCAAACCAATTATAAAGTTTAATATTTGGCTTCCGTTACCAGTCTCCACAGCTGTTTGATTTGTTATACGTTGTACGACCGCGCGGCTCCCCCTGTATCATAAAAACTCTACAGTGAACTCTACAGTGAACTCTACAGTGAACTCTACAGTGAACTCTACAGTGAACTCTACAGTGAACTCTACAGTGAACTCTACAGTGAACTCTACAGTGAACTCTACAGTGAACTCTACAGTGAACTCTACAGTGAACTCTACAGTGAACTCTACAGTGAACTCTACAGTGAACTCTACAGTGAACTCTACAGTGAACTCTACAGTGAACTCTACAGTGAACTCTACAGTGAACTCTACAGTGAACTCTACAGTGAACTCTAAAGTGAACTCTACAGTGAACTCTACAGTGAACTCTACAGTGAACTCTACAGTGAACTCTACAGTGAACTCTACAGTGAACTCTAAAGTGAACTCTACAGTGAATTCTACAGTGAACTCTACAGTGAACTCTACAGTGAACTCTACAGTGAACTCTACAGTGAACTCTACAGTGAACTCTACAGTGAACTCTAAAGTGAACTCTACAGTGAACTCTACAGTGAACTCTACAGTGAACTCTACAGTGAACTCTACAGTGAACTCTACAGTGAACTCTAAAGTGAACTCTACAGTGAACTCTACAGTGAACTCTACAGTGAACTCTACAGTGAACTCTACAGTGAACTCTACAGTGAACTCTACAGTGAACTCTACAGTGAACTCTACAGTGAACTCTACAGTGAACTCTACAGTGAACTCTAAAGTGAACTCTACAGTGAACTCTACAGTGAACTCTACAGTGAACTCTACAGTGAACTCTACAGTGAACTCTACAGTGAAATCTACAGTGAAATCTACAGTGAAACGACATTGGGGGTCACGACGTGATACATGAATGTCTGATATAGTTGCTAGCAGTAGCTCTTCGTTGGGTATTGTATATCCTTGTTATTGTGATTGGTGACGTGTCTTTAGTGACAACAAGACATTATTTAGATATGAGATTTTTATTTACTTTTATCGCTCGCTCTCGAGAGCGAGCGATAAAAGTAAATACGGTTTTTACTCATAGTCATTCGATTTTTGTTCTTAAACTATTCTCTGTTCAATTTTTGATTTTGGTATAAAAATTTTGGTCAACGTGCAGAATAAAGCGAGTTATCGAACTATTTCATACGTATCAAATTCATGGATGTGCTTTCGGTGGAGATATAACGCAGGTCGTTTAGTTATGGTTAGGGTTTTATAACATATAACTATAAGTATAAGTACATACCTTACAAGACTTTTTCATAACGTACGAAATGCGACGGTTTTTTCCGAAATTTCGCCATATTTTCGGACCGCCAAAATTTCGGTCGTCGTAATAGAACCCGTCGGATTATTTTTTAGCTTATTCCAATAATTGTGGCTTTATCGATTCATTTTGTTCTTGAAAATTTAGTGATATGATGGTGGGACAAATAAACACAATATTCCATGACACATGATGAATTTAATGTCAAGTAATACGTTTTAAATTTACAATAAATTACATTTATGTGCTAACTTAAACGTCTTATAAGAGACTAAGTCAAGATAAACAATTTAATACCAAACTCAATAAGTGAAACTGAAAGAGTCGAGCCGGACCCCTTAGAGGAAGATGAAGAAATCGATTTATAAGTTTCATTTTGTTTCAACATGATTTTACCAATTTTTAGAAAATTTTGAATTTCCTTTGTGTCAGAAAACAAAATGATGAAAAATACCCTTATTTTCTGTGACGTCCGAAATGTACGGTTTTTGTTCAATTTCGCCATATTTTCGGACCGCCAAAATTTAGGTCGTCGCAAATTGGTCCGCCACAAAAATGTCTTGTAAGGTACTCCAGATAAGAATATAGTTAGGAATATGATTGGGGTCAGAGTAAAGGGTTTGGATCTGAATAATCCCTCAGGGCCATTTCTTTCTATAAGTTAAACGTGTTTAACTTTAAGTAAGTCATGAGTCATAATGTCTTATTTTGTGCATGTGTGAGTTTTTGACTTTTAATAGATAATAATTATTATATTTTATATATTTTTGAGTAAACATTGGCTGGTTTACTGCGCGGAGCTCAGCTTATGATCATTCTGTCGAATCTCTATTCGCGGTGGTTGTTCATGAACATTATAGCCTGGGGTCCCCAGCCAGGTAATGGATTGTTCTTTGGGCCAGTCCCTAACAAAAAACCTAATAGTCGAGTGTAAAGTGATTCATCAGATCATCCGATTTCCTCTTGACATATTTTAACTACATCATATATCATTTCAAGTCCCAGTTAACCGCTATAACTATAAGACGCATTCCTCATTGCGAGGTGATTAGATAATTGGTTTACAGCCCCCCCCCCCCCCCCCAAACCAATTATAAAGTCTAATATTTGGCTTCCGTTATCAGTCCCCACAGCTGTCTGATATAGTTGCTAGCTCTTCGTTGGGTATATTGTTTATCCTAATTGTTATTATCATTGGTGACGTGTCGTTAAGTGATAGCAAGACATTTAGATATGAGAGCGAGCGCTAAAAGTAAATACGGTTTTTAGTTTTACTCATTCCATCCTTGATCTTTCCATAATTTTGAATACAATTTCTTCCACATTATATATACAGTTACACAGTATATCAGGTTGCATTGTTCCGTAAAAATGAATAACGTGATCCATGATGAGTTATTTCATATTTTTCCCTAGACGGTTATCAGTTATTATATATATATATATATATGGTAGAAAGAAAACTCCACTTGAGGATGTGAGGAGAGTTAGGACTCCTCAATAACTACATTAAATACATTCCTTCTGTATCATCCTCAATAAATGTAATATATTTGTAGTGTTGTAATTATTTTAAAATCTATTATATTTAATATTTCTGTCTTTTATTAGTATCCTTTAATGAAATATTTTTTATTGATATCTTTGATTGATTGTTACTATTATTATATACATCTGAACTCTGAAGTGTACCGTGCTTTGATTAACATGTCTCAGTAGCAGAAGTTAAGAAGATGAAGATAATATTAGCTATAATAGCTGCAAGTTGTATTGTGATTTGTACCAACGCTATCAGTTGTTATCAGTGTAGCGAGGCAGCCTTCAAGTACGACTCCGATGCCACGAAGGAAATTATGGAATCAAATGGTGGATTGTTCAAGACCGGAGATTTACCTGCGGGCTGTGACTCATCCAGCATGATGCCTTGTGATGAAAGTCAAATCAAAATGGTCTGCGCAACTGTAAGCTTAATTGTAGAAGGTGAATCAATGACAGTTGACATGATCGGAAGAGTGTGTCTGCCGGACGGTTCCACTGCGGAAAACACGGAGGATGCCATGTGTGAAGATTTAGAAGACGATGTAGGAGATAACAATGTTATTTCCTGCAAATTGGAAGTCTGCAGTACTGATAACTGCAACATGATATCCCAGGACGACGGAGAAAGGGAGAACTATGTATCCTCGGAAAGTAAACTAACATTCTCTTTCCTTCTCATCCAGCTTGTCTCTTTCCTTGCAGTCACTCTATTTTAAGCTTAACAAGACTTAGACGAAAAAATGTAACGATTTATGTGACATAAATAATTATAGCGTATATCGTTACGAATTATAAGGGTAATATTATGTAGAGTTAGATTATTCTATGCATGTAATGATAACGATAAGATCTTTATTCTTCACGTCCTGTAATGTTAGTTTTAGGTCTGAAAAAATCAATACAACACGTTTAATATCATGGTGGTCGATTGTATCGACATTTTTATATGTTTTGGGTGCTCATAGTTATACTCATTGCAAAATATGTTTTCTTTTTCTCACAACCTGGCTTTGTTACAACTATATTACATTTTTCGGAATGGAAAGTTACACTGGTAACTAATTGTACTAAAGATGTACTAATGTAGAACTTTTGAAAATGGTTTGTAGACTTCCGAAGCTTTTAAAACTTTTATGCTATATTTACGAGTTTAAATTTGTTATAAAATAGCTAGATGAATTTATTTTTGAACGCTGATTCCGAATTAATCTACAGGTCAAAATGTTGTGTCATATTGCATATATAATAGCTTGATTATGATGGTCATCGAGCCATTTAGCATAATATTTTGCTTCAATATAATAAGTGCTCCTCCATAAATGTAATTAAAATCGTATGCATGGGCCTCTCACAGTCTCAGTGCTGGAGCAATAGCTCTAGTAGACCGGATGGAGTGGTGGAGAGGGTGACAGACAACTGAACCCAATTGAACCTAGTTCTCACGCAGTTAACAGGCACCCAATCAGCTGAATTGGGTGACCAATCAACTTAAATCCCAAATCGACAACTGAACCCCAAACCCATGTCATAAACAGGATTAAACAGGATTAAACATGAAATTACCAGAGAGAACACTAACGGACTCGTCTTGGCTATACAAGAATGAATAAATCAATGTATAAAATTATCAAAACTGCACCAAAACTGGAAATACGACAACTGAACCCATCGTTCGGATTTTCAGGCCCTCCTTCTTCGCAGGAGACTGTGGTCATTATCACTATCACAGTGCTGGCAAGCACGACCGGTGCATTTATTGTGGGTATACTATGTACCCCCTTTACTATTATACCCCCTTTACTATTATACCCCCTTTGGTACACGTTACAAGCCTCTTTCGTGTACGCGAAGAGGCTTGTAACGTGGCCAAATAGGGCGTCTAGACGTTGACCATATCGACTGCAAAAAAAGTTTCAGGTTTCAGGAACATCGGGAAGTGGGTTTTCTAGAACCCCTGTTTTACGACAACCCCTGTTTTTAGACAAAATCCCCCCTCACTTTTATGATGACACACGATAACAGCACTAGGGTTCAAGCCCCTAACTACTCAGTGGCAGCTAGCTCCCTGTATGACGGGCCCTCCCTAAAACCCCCGGGAGGGGTGGGTCCTGATAGTTGCAGCAACCCTGTTACTACCCTTTTAGTTCGTAGGAAAACCCCTTTTCAGGTTAGCACCTTCAACTGTAGGACTCTCAACCCTGTATCACGTAAACAGGAGTTAGCTCACTCAGCCTTCATGCATCATAATGATGTTATCTCCTTGCAAGAGCATCGCCAACACCACAAAGAATCCCTAAGAATTGAAAACATCTTATCATATCAGCTCATCACTGCTTCTGCTACGAAGAATTCAGTTAATGCGTCAGTTGGTGGTGTTGGGTTTCTTTTATCTCCTAGAATTCAGAAATCTCTCCTATCTGTAGAGAAAGTTAATAGCAGAATCATCTTGCTCCATGTAAACGGGAATCCTCGCCTCACAGTCCTCTCCTGTTATGCTCCTACTAACTGCAGTGATATTGAAGATAAAACTGCATTCTACAACGCTCTAACCAGGATCATCTCTAAGGTGCCTCCTCACAACATGCTAGCAGTGTGCGGTGATTTCAACGCGAAGCTCAGTAATAGCTACGGTTTCACATACCATCAGTCAACCAACGACAACGGCGAACGACTACTGGATCTGGTAGACCAACACCAACCGCTGTTTCCAGAAACCGGCTAATAAAATTTGGACCTATGAAGACCCCAAAAGAGCAAAGCATCAAATTGACTTTGTACTCTGGCGTAAGAAGTGGGCAAACAGTGTGAAGAACTGTCAAGCGTACAACATCATGCAAACTGTCGGTTCAGATCACCGGATTGTAACATGTTTTGTTCAAGCCAGCTACAGAGTCAACAAAACTCCAGCACGGGACCCTCTTAGGAGCATTGACTGGACTCCACTGATCCACGATTCCATCATGAAACACCAGTATGCAGTGGAAGTGAAAAACAGGTACAGTGTACTCCTAGAGGAAGCAGAGCTCGAGTCCGACTACGACCTGCTCGTTAAAAGCGTTACAAGCACAGCACTTAAGGTGTTGCCAAAAAAGAGGAAGAGGAAACGGGAAAATCCTTACAACGATCCTAATATTGCACACCATCGCAATATCCTAAAGGATGCGTCCCTGAGTCACAGGATTTCCCCCTCTTTTTCGTCCAAGGAAAAGCTTGAAGACGCAAAGAAGCAACTGGACGAAGCCTATAATGCTGCTACTTCACAGCACATTCGACAACAGACTGACCTGCTGGAGAAAACTAACCCTGAGCACAGGCATCGCAGTTCCTGGCACATCATCAGGCAACTAACATCTTCCGACACTGTGCCATACTGCAAAGTGCCAGGAGGCACTACCGAAGAACGGCTCAACATCTGGTTCGAGCACTTCAAGTCCCTTCTAGGCACAGAACAGCCTCCGCCGGACCTCACCCTCCCCTTCTTCAACCAGCGAGTCTCTGACACCCTGCCCATCAGCTGCTCATCCTTCAGCATGTCAGAACTCGACACGGTTCTGAAGTCCGCCAAATCCTCCAAGTCACCCGGTCTGGATAGCATCCCTCCCTCAGTCTGGAAGCTTCCCCAGCTACGTGAAAACCTCCTCGGATTCTGTAACAAAGCACTCATGGATGGTGTGATCCCTCAAGCCTGGAAAACGGCCTCAATCATTCCTATCCCCAAAAAGGGTGATCTTACTAATCCAGGAAACTACCGTGGCATTTCACTGGCACCGGTTGCAGCGAAAGTTTTTAACAAGCTCATCCTCAACCGGATCTACCCATTCATTGATCCCCTCTTGCGGCCAAACCAAAATGGTTTCCGTAGAGGAAGATCCACACTCCCACAGGTCCTTGCCCTACGTCGTATACTCGAGGAATGCAAGATCGGAAATCGCTCAGCCGCAATTGTGTTTGTCGATTTTTCGAAAGCGTTCGACAGCATTAACCGGGATGCCCTTTTCCACATCCTCTCCCTCTACGGTATCCCTGCTCCACTTGTAGATGCTATCAGGCTTCTTTATGACTCATCGTTCTCTCGTGTCCAGACCATCGACGGCCTTACTGACTTTTTTAGGACACTTATTGGAGTTCTCCAAGGGGACACTCTAGCACCCTTTCTCTTCATCATCGTCCTTGACTATGTCCTAAGAAGCTGCATGGGTGAAGAATTCGGTCTTACCATCGTGCCTAGGAAAAGTCGAAGAGTGCCTGCGGTCAAAATCACAGACCTTGACTTTGCTGATGATTTGGCCTTAATGTCAGACACCATAGAGCAAGTCCAACTTCTGCTGACAGACCTTGAAAATGCAGCCGCACAAGTTGGTCTTGCTATGAATGCTTCTAAGACCGAGTTCATGACCATCAACATCCCTGACACTGTCGACTTACATTCCATCTCAGGCCGCCAGATTAAACAGGTTGATGACTTTAAATACCTCGGCTCTTTTATTGCGGACAGTAGAAAGGATTTCAACACAAGGAAAGGAATGGCCTGGTCAGCCTGTATTAAACTGCAAAAAGTCTGGTCCTCTGGCATTTCCGAACAACTGAAAGTCAAGTTCTTTAGAGCCTGTGTCGAACCAGTATTGCTCTATGGATCAGAGACATGGACCATAAACAAGCAGCTTGAGAAGCGCCTCAACGGATGCTACACCCGTCTTTTAATGAAGGCCAAGAACATCTCGTGGAAGAAACATCCAACCCTCAAGCAGATCTATGGCAACCTTCCATCTATTGCCTCAGTGGTTGCGTCGAGGCGTTCCAGATTTGCTGGGCATTGCATGAGAGCTTCTGACCAAGTTATCTCCACTATCCTCCCCTGGCGACTTGCCCAATCCGGCCGTGGAAGGAGACCACTTACCTTCCTAGACGTAGTAGCTCGTGACACTGGGCTCCAGTTAGACGACCTTCGAACTGTTATGTGCGATCGAGACGTGTGGAGGCAGACAGTGAATGGGATTTCGATTGAGGATCGCCCAAAGTAAGTAAGTAAGTTTTACGACAGATTGTCGTGATATCTATCTATATATATACATTTTACCAAAACCCATAATCATGGGTAGAGTGGACCGCTGTCAGTGTCTCTCTTTCCTAAACAAAAGGAAATGATATTAATTTGATTGACCGTTCTCAAATGCAAAATGATACCGAGAATGAAATCGGTCGCTCGCTTTTCCCATTCATTCACGGCTTACGAATTGTATAATTAAGTTTCGATTGATTACATCAATCAGATGCTGTAAAAGTGTAAAAATCTCTTTGGGTTGCGTTCGGGTCGATACCTAGTATTTCGGGGTAAGGGACAAGGGTGGTAGTTATTACTTATTGAACAAGCTGAAGTTTATTGAATCTTCATTGCCGAGTACAGCTGCCTTTGGATAGTTCTTCTTAATCTATTACAATTGTAAATGAATGGGAAAAGCGAGCGACCGATTTCATTCTCGGTATCATTTTGCATTTGAGAACGGTCAATCAAATTAATATCATTTCCTTTTGTTTAGGAAAGAGAGACACTGACAGCGGTCCACTCTACCCATGATTATGGGTTTTGGTAAAATATCATCTCTTTTTCATTATAATGTCAGGGTACTTTATAAAGTCGAAATATAAACTGATATCTTCATTAATAAGGAGGAAGTTTCAACGATTTCGAAATTTTTCCTTTAAAAACATTTCCTTGTGTTTAGGGAAGCATATCGGTCGATCACTGACTGAATATGCCACTTAATACTCATTCAAGTAGGCATTAAATTCATATATAATGACATTAAACTGTCGTGGCAAAGCAGAATTTGTTGGAAATCACGAATGAGCAAAATTCTCACCTTTCGCACGTGCAAACTTTGAGCGGACGTTGCGTGCGCATCCAATATTGAATCGCCGTAAATTTTTGCATAGTGGTATTTAATATATAGTTTGATAAGCATGAAAAGTTTCAGAAGATTTCAAAAAGAACTTGGATCACAAGGGGACTCCAAAGTTGATAAAAATCGTGAAAATCAAAATTTTTAGTGATTTTAGCTATTTTAAATCAATTTGGGCGTGTCCCCACGTGTGCAACTTTTCGATTTTTAACTTTAAAACTAGCCTAATGCACAATTTATACCTATAGGAAGCAGAAATGAGCTCCACAACCCAAGGCATGGCCCAACACCAGAGAATACTAAATCGCAAAATTGACGTTTTTATAAAATAATTTTTCAAAAAAGCACAAACTTCAATGACGAATATCTTTATGAAGGAGCAAGCTAGAAAAACTTTCCGGTAGATTTTCAGAATGCTTGAACAATTATCTAAGGTGAAAATGTCCTCAGATTTTGAATAAAATTACTCCTTAATGGTTTAAAATTAATTTTAAAAGTTAATACTTTGTCAAAAATCAAGTTTTAAAAACGGTTAACTTGATGACGTCATCAAGGGGTGTTTATGACGTCAAATAATTTTTTTACACAATGTAAACTAAAGTATAAACAATTATTTGCAAGACCTGTGGTCGGAAATGGCTGTATCTTTTATACTTTTGAATCTATGGACACTTAAATACAGGCTACAATTGACTGGCAAAGCGTCTATCCCTGAATATATACGTATGTATATATTTGACCAAAACCCATAATCATGGGTAGAGTGTACCGCTGCCAGTGTCTCTCTTTTCCAAACAAAAGGAAATGATATTAATTTGAGGAACCGTCCGCTAATGCAAATTGATACCGAGAATGAAATCGGTCGCTCGCTTTTCCCATTCATTCACGGCTTACGAATTGTAATAAAGCTTATTAAATGGGAAAAGCGAGCGACCGATTTCATTCTCGGTATCAATTTGCATTAGCGGACGGTTCCTCAAATTAATATCATTTCCTTTTGTTTGGAAAAGAGAGACACTGGCAGCGGTACACTCTACCCATGATTATGGGTTTTGGTCAAATATCATCTCTTTTTGATTATAATGTCAGGATAATTTACACAATCGAAACTTCATTAACAAGGAGGTAATTCCGACGATTTCGAAATTCTGCCTTTGAAAACGTTTCCTTGTGTTTAGTTAGGTATATCTGTCGATAACCGACTGAATATGGCACTTTTTACTCATCCAAGTTGGCATTAAATACATATATAATGCCATTTAAATATCGTGGAAAGCAGAATATATTCGAAATCACGAATGAGCAAAATTCTCACCTTTCGCACGTGCAAACTTTGAGCGGACGTTGCGTGCGCATACAATATTGAATCGCCGTAAATTTTTGCATAGTGGTATTTAATATATAGTTTGATAAGCATGCAAAGTTTCAGAAGATTTCAAAAAGAACTTGGATCACAACGGGACTCCAAAGTTGATAAAAATCGTGAAAATCAAAATTTTTAGTGATTTTAGCTATTTTAAATAAATTTGGGCGTGTCCCCACGTGTGCAACTTTTCGATTTTTAACTTTAAAACTAGCCTATAACACAATTTACACCTTTAAGAAGCAAAATTGAGCTCCACAACCCAAGGGATGACCCAACACCAGAGAATACTAATTCACAACTTTTGTGTTTTTATAAAATTATTCTTCAAAAAAGCACTAACTTCAATAGCAAATATCTTTATGAAGGAGCAAGGTAGGAAACTATTCCGGTAGATTTTCGGAATGCTTGAACAATTATCTAAGATGAAAATTTCCTCAGATTTTGAATAAAATTACT